AAATGGTTAAATCAATTCTCCACTGATTTTTAACGCATTAAATAAAACTTTTTAAAAACCTACTAATTTTTGATATGTTTATTTATCATTTGCCTCTCTCTCTCTCTCTCTCTCTCTCCCTCCTTTCTCTCTCTATAAATAATAAAAACATTAAAATATAATAAAGCAAACAACGCGAACGGCGGGGCTATTGTTGGCCGCGGCGGTGGCCGTAGACTGAGAAGAGGTCGTCAGAGGAGAGGCCGAGGGCGAGCACAAAGACGACGCGGAGGTCCACTGGCAGGCGTTCAGAGGATTATTGGACGGATATTTGTTGGGGGAGGGGGTGGAGGGGGTAGAGGTCGGGGAGGGAGACGAGGCAAATGATAAATAAACATATCAAAAATTAGTAGGTTTTTAAAAAGTTTTATTTAATGCGTTAAAAATCAGTGGAGAATTGATTTAACCATTTATTTACAAATGACATCGAAGTCGACGTCCTTTTCGTTTTGAATGGCTTCTCCGCGATTAACGGTACAAAATGTTTTGATTTCTTTCAGATGTGCCCTAAAATTGTGTGCAAATTGTGAGTTAAGGCAACAATTTTAGGAGTTTTTACGAGAAATAATGGCAACATATTGTATAACAATATACTGTATAACGGATTTCTCGTGTATTATACATACTGTGTGTCCAGAATATGATCGGACGAGAGGGGGACGACTGTAATGCTGTCGATCCACATCTTTTGCTTAATAATACCGCCGAGAGTTCGGTGCCATTTGAACGTCACTTTCTTCACGTCACCGAATTTGTAGTCAAACTTCGCGATAAAAGTATACGTTTGTCCCAAATGAAAGATCTGATCCCTAATTCACATCAATCACACAAATTAATACCATAATGTTGTTTAAATGTATGTTAATTTTGTTATAATGTTTTGTGTAAATTACTTTTCATTCAAAGTGATCTGTTCGTCATTATCTCCGTGAAGGGTAACCATAAGTATCCCGTGATTATCACTGGAATCGGGGGTCTCTTCGGGTAATCGGACTCGGATTTCAAACTCATATTCTGTTTATAAATGATAAAACTGATTAGTTTTATAAATAAAATGCATTATTTGTTTGGATAACTGACTGAAAAACGGTGTCTTTCCAGTGGTCGAGAGGAAGAATCGTGTATTTTGTGTGGTTTTCTCATACTTTTGGGACAGTTTGGCGTTCTCTCCAATGACAGCACATTTGTCACCATTAGGTCCGCATTGATCACACTTACCGGCCGTAAAGGACTCGAAGTCATTGCACTGATAGCCCACTCCATGAATAC